ATAAATTAAAAATGGAATATTTAAAAAATGGAATATTTTAGAATGTACACATACCCAGGAACATATTCTATTGCTAAGTGATGTCACCAATTATGGAGCCTCTGGAAACCCCACTGTACACATAAGAAAAATGAAAGTGGTAAAATAATACTTAGTAGTGTTAATGAAACAGCTTCTCCCCCCCCCCCCCAGACTCTCTGCAAGTATCTGCACTCCAGGGATCCCAGACCGCACTTTGAGAACCATACTTCAAAATCATTGTTATTTAAACTACTTCAATTGAATGCACCTTCTTTCTCATCTGAAGTTTCATTTAAAAAAGATAATACTGCACGCAAAGATTTAGTGTTAAAATTATATAGGCTGTACATTCCTGTTATTAGAATTCTCAAGTGTTTGCCTTTGTTTCCTTGCTTGCCCTTCCTCTCTATTCCTCTACCCCCCAGATAGACATTCATCTCTATAAAGACAAGTAATTATTTAGTGTATTTTTGTCTTTTCAGATCCAATACCTGACACACAATTAGGCTGGGAAAGTGGTGTTTAGTAACAACTGAACGAGTAAATGAATGAATGTTCCCTTATACAAAAAGAAGTTTGACTTTCTAATTTTTTTAGTGGTATAGATTACTGAATTTGTGACTGTGATTGTTTTTTGCCATTTGCTCAGACTGTTACATAGCATTTCTATGAGCTCCCTCATACTCAGCCTGGCAGTGGAGACTGTAAAATGTCCCTTGTTTTAGCACTTCTCTTAGGTCCTGCTAGAGCACTGAGCATTTTGAACCTTGCAGTCGAACTTCTGCATGTTATGATCTATGTCCATGTAGAGATACTGTTTTGCTCCTGGGGGGACCTGGTGAGTGATTGGCTTTGCTGAATCTGACTCCAAGATCCCTTACCCAACACAGATTATATTTACGACAGACAAAGTTTAATAATCATCAAAGGTAACCAAAAAGAACACAAATCTAAAAAAGGTGTGTATATGTGTGTCTAAACAAGGCAGAGCAGAGCAATCTTTACCTTGACCTAGTCGAGAGAACTGTGAACTGATCATATGTGTTAACAGTCTTCTACATCTTACTCTTTTTTTTTCTTTGTGAAGTAGTAAGTTTTCCAGTGATTCTTCTCTCTCTCTTCTTTCTTTTGAAATGATCATGAAGGAGGTAAAGCCCTTCCTCCCCAAAAAAATAAGAATAGGGCTTATCATCTCATTTTAATCCAGTAGACATACTCCTTGAGTAATCAGTAAAGGCAGCTCAGAAGGCATTTCCCATTCATTTTGATAGAATCACCTATCAAATTAAGTTACTTCGCTCCCCATTGAGTTAGTCCTTTAAGCATATTCTGGACAATCCCAGTAATACCATACATCTGAGTTCATTTTCTACAGTATCAACACATCCAGTGTTTCATGGTTGAATTTTTTTATATAATCAAGTTGATTGTGATTGTTACCTAAAGTGATAAGGGTTGGCTTTTATTCTTGAGAGTTCTCAAAAATTTTTTTCATTTTGAATGGAAACATTGTATTATTCAAGCTTGAGAAGAGGATATGGCTCAATTTCCTTTTTCTACAATGGAAAATAAGCATAGCTAGTAAGTTCTTACCTAAACTCTATGATTGGTGTTTAGAAAAATCTGTGGCTCACTAATTTAACCCTCTTTATTGGACTTAAATTTTCCCTTTTTTATGTTGAATGATAGTCAATGAGATAGCATATAGGGATGTTTCCCATTGCCTGATGTAAGTTATACCAGTCTTTAGTTGGATTCTTAAATTTGCTAAAACCATGTACTCATTTTTTATATTACTTTCAAAAAGTGCCCACCAACTTGGATTAGAAAGACACAAACTTCTGCCTGTAATTATGAATAATTATGATATTATAAGATATTAAAGATAATTATGAATTATCTTTCCAAATTTTAATGAAGATAATTTTTTAAAATTACAAATAGAACTAAATGTAGTAAGAGTTCACTTTTATCATATTTGATAACTGATTTCCTACACGTTGTTTGGTTTACTTAGAACAAGCATAAGTTTTCCAGAGCAATTGACCATATAGTTTGAATTGGTAAAGATGTAACTATTGTTTTGAAGTCATCACCCTTATTGTTGAGAGTGAAGCTCTCCAAGCCATGTGCAGATACTAAGGTGTGAAGTTGAATTTCCAAACTAACATATTTTTGGAAACAAATATCAAATCAATAACATTTTGATAGGAAAAAAAAGGAGCTACATTTTCCAGTACACAACCACTCGGTAAGGGAATGTCTTGCAGTTTGGGGATTTTGTAGGACATTAGAAAATGATAGACTCAATACAGAGTGTGTTTCTGCAAATCAAAAATAACTGAAAAAAATTGGGACTTTTAATTTTAATGTCCTCAAGCACTTTTTGAAAAGTGTAACATGTTCTTTACTAAATTAGTGTTTAGAATTAATGTCAGCACTAGAAAAATTCAGTTTCTTCCAAGAATAGTCATATATTTCCTTGGAATTGCCTAAAATATTGCTTTTGATACAAAAACAGATTGACTTTCAGAGCTATGTTGGCCCGCTGGCTCCAGATTCTTTTGTAAATTCCTAGAAAGAACACTTTCAAAATGTATTCATTTTCACTTATTCATTTCCTTGCTCATTAAATACTTACTGAGCACCTGGTTTGTGGTAGGTTCTCCTCTTCAAAGTACTAATTTGGCAGGACTTGAAAATAGGGTGCAAATGATGCTTTTTGACTAAGGAAAAACTTCCATTTTAGGCACATAAAGGTTATACGGATTATAAGAGTAGACTCCATCTAGTCTTGACAGATGGAGAAATTGAGGCCCAAAGAGAGGTTACATGACAAAATTAAATTGATATCAGTGTATTTGAATTACAATGGCAATTTGCTTTGCAATGACTCTGAAGTAACCAAGTATTTCTTTTATAGTGAGTTAAGCTTTTTTTTAATGTTCTATAATTAACAAATAAGGTCAGTGCTCAACTCCTGGGTCAATGCCACAGTGGTGCCCTTTGTTCTTGGACTCAATCCATGGTCTGGCTTGGCAACTGAAAAACCCAATGACCTGCGTTTGGCAATTAGTATAGAGGCTTTAATGTCTACTGACTAAATGTAGTCTGGATGCCCATGTGCTCAGAGATTGAGGTCAATCTTTTGTTAGAGAATGCAGCTATTTCCGTTAAACCCATTTTTCAATGTTTTGAATTGTGTATTTACATTCTTGAAATTTAAAATTAATAATGCAGTAGTTTCTAGAAAGTTTGACTATAGAATTCTGCCTTTCTTATTGGTTTAAAAATAGCCACAACCTTGAATTATAGTGAAAACATTTTCGTTTGAATAGATTTAACATGAACATTCTGGCCCCTGCTGGGAACTTGGAGAACTACATCACTCTACTATCAATTTCTGTAAGGTCATAAGGACTTCAATTTAAACCTTGAATTCGCCTCATGTAGCTTCTCTTTTTTCTATCATACAGAAATCTGCTGAATACTATCTACGAGTAAAGAATTACAATTATCAAGACACAAAATCAGTATTAACTATTAGACAATTCACATGGAAAAATTAATTTAAAACCACGGGATACAACCATATTTTCTACCTTAACTTCAAATATGAAAAAACCTAATTGAGAAAGTTATTCATTATTTCTTCATCTGAAAATGGAAAAATTAAGTCGAATTGGGAGGAGTAAATGAAATAATGTGCCAAGGACAGGGCCAGCTGTCAAGTAAGTACTTGATAAATGACATTCAAATCATTGTCAGCATCTAATAACAATACCAGCAATGCCTAACCATATTTGTGTCAGTAAAATTAAATAGTATTATAAATCTGTGCAAAATTGAAATTTTATAAATTGAACTTTTGTAAACTGAAGGATGAAAGCATGAAAGAAAAATATGGAGAAATAAAGTTAGGCCATTAATAGATGAATTATGTATTGGTACTGGGGCAGCTAGCCACAGAGACTCCAGTTCACTAGACTTTAATCTCTGAGAGATGTAAAATAAATTAGGCACATTTTTTAGTCTTTTCCATTGTAGCATAATAGCTGTGTAAAGTTTAAACATTTTAATTTTATCATGGAAAAGAAAATCTCCAGGTTACATACAATAAAAAACATTTTCTAATTTTCTTGTGGTATATTTCTAGAAGTATGCTGTTTAGTTTCCAAATATTTGAAGATTTTCTAGATATATTTCTAATTTTGGTATCTGACTCAATTATGTTCTAATCAGAAAACATACTGTGATACCATTCCTTTAGTTTTCACTAAAGCTGGTTTCATGGCCCAGCAGATGCTGTTTGGTGACTGTTTCACCACCACTTGAAAAGAACATGTATCCTTTCGTTGCATGTAGATTCAGTAAATGTCATGTAAGTCAGTAGGGTTGTTTAAGTTTTATATTATTTTTTAATCTACTTATAAGTTATATCAGTTACTAAGAGTGTTGAAGTCTCTGGCTATAGTGATGAATTTGACATCTCTTCAGTTCTATCAGTTTTTGCTTTATGCGATTTTGAATCTCCATAACTGGAGCATATATATCTATCTACAATCTCTATACTTTTATGACCAATTAAACTGACTTTTTTCAGTACGAAATGTCCCACTTTTTCCTCTAATAATATCCTTTGTTCTGCATTTTGCTTTGGCTGATTTTAATAAAGCCACTCTGTTTTCTTAGGATTAATATCAGCATGCTATAGATTTTCTACTAGTGGCTTTAATTTTAAAGTGGCCCTCTTGTGTGGGTCCTGATTTTTTTAATCCAGTTTCACCTCTATTTCAACCTCTATTTTCTACCTGGAGTGTTTAGCCTTTTTGCATTTAATTCAGTTACCAATGATTTGGTGTAAGTTTAACCTCTTGCTATTTGTTTTCTGTTTGTCCCACAGGTTCTCTGTTCCATTTTTCTTCTTTCTAATGTGGTGCAATATAGGATAACAACACTGGATAGGTTTCAAGTATACAGTTTCTCACCTTGACAACTGTACATACCACACCATACCCACTATCAAATGTCTAGTTATCACCTACCAACCAACCAATCGAACTCCTCTATGTGGGTTCCACCCTCTTCCCCTCTGGTAAGCACCACTGGACAGGCAGGTCTCTCTTCTTTTACATGGAGTCTCTTTCAGTGTTTCATTTGTATCTCCACTATGAGTGTTCACTATGCCCAATTGTCTAGTGGTTGCTTTAGAGTTCACAATAATATTGCAGTTTTAATTTATGACAGTCTGCCTTCAAATAATTTTTAAATGCTTCATAAGAACCTCATAACAATATATTTCAGTTTCTTCTGTCCTTTGTGTGATTGTTGCCAGACTCTCTTACCTCTATTATGTTATAAAGCCCGAAGTACAATGCTACTATTTTTGTCATAGTCATTTCCAATGCTCTTTACTCTCTTGTGTAGACTAGGATTTTTCAACTGTTGATATTTGGGGCTGGATTTATGTTGGGGGGGGGAGAGGCTGCTCTGTGCACTGTAATATGTTTAACAACATCTTAGCTTTACTCATTAGATGGTAACAACTATCTTCCATGTCATTCCAAGTAAAAAATGTCCCCAGACATTGTCAAGTGTTCCCTGAGGGACAATCTACAGTGTCCACAACTTACCCAATTTCTAATGTCTGTTTCCTCCACTTGGCAAGATTACTTCCCTCAGCTTGGCTTGCCCTTCTCTGTACTATGATGCAAATATGATTTAGACAAACTATGGATCACATCACTTGCTTCCATGCTCTAGGAGATGCCACTCTTACTCTGCCTGTGTTTAATTTCTGCACCAGGTAGACAAAAGTGGCCTGAGACAGAAATTCCCTTAGATGACAGACATACCAACATAGGGGAAGGATGAGTGAAACAATACTGGGAAAATGCTAAATTTCTTCTTACCTTCAACCCAGCACCCTTAGAAATAAGTTGACTAACCCAGTAGAAAAATGGCAAAAAAGAAATACACATTTCCAATGAAAGTATGAAATCTTACCATGCCTAAGTAAAAAAAATTAAAAATCAGTGAAATACCATTTCCGTATTCAAATGTTAAAATAAATATGGGAAAATGGCACCTCCTTCCCTTTTTTTAAATTAAAATTTATTTATTTATGCATATAAGAGCTGGGGAGGAGGCCACAGATGGGGGTGGGGGAGTTTGAGAGGATTCACCAGGAACAGAATAGGTAGAAAAATAAGGCAGGTCTGCTGAGGGGAGCAGCAGGCAAGACAGGAGAGGTCTGCTGCACCATGTGTGTGCCAGCTCTCTAACTGGGGATTGAACTTGTGCTGCAGTGGCTGCAGTTAGCTTCATAGTGTTGAGCCTTAGCCCACTGCACCATCAGGGAGGCCCTCCCCCTCCCCTCTGTGGCAATGTACTTTTCATTTTTATCTACTTTACAGAGCAATTTGGAATTGTCTTCAAGTATTTCAGTATGCCATGCCCTTTGACCCAATAATTCTTTCTTTTTAGGATTTTGCCTCAGGCTTACACAAATGCTCAAAAAATTTTGTCAAGTTTATCATATTAAAAAGTTGGAAATTGGCCCTCCCTGTGGCACAGCGGGGTTAAGGCAAAGCGCTAAGAAGCGTAAGCCACTTCCTCATGAGTTCGATCCCTGCTGCCCCGGAGGTGACCACATCACGCAGATCTCTCTTGACCATCCACTGCTCCCTTCAGCAGTGTACTTCATAGGTCTACCTGCTCTGCCCCCTACTCTGTCTCTGGTGAATCATTTCACCGCCCCTGCACCTCTGGCCTGTACCCAGTTCTGTATTGCATAAATAAATCTTAAAAAAAAAAAAGTTGGAAATTATCTACAATCCAACAATTAGATAGTAAATGAAAGTATCTCCAGGTGAATGAATTTGTATTAACGACAAAAAGAGATGAATACAATAAATTTGGTGGGAAAAGCAAATTCTATAGAACAGAATAGTCTTTATAACTATAAAGCTACACTCATTGTAGCTATGCTTTCTCCATAAATATTTTATCTTGTTCTAATACACATGGCCAAGCAGAAGGCTAGATTTACTAGGCCTCTCCTCCAGTTGTCTCTATTTCAGCTAATGGAACCATCATTCAACCACTTGCTTGTCTCAAACACCTGGTAGTCAAGGGATTTTTCTCACCAAGCTCCCCACTCCACACCATTCAGTGGGAGAAAAGGAGTCAGAAAACTGGAACATTAACAGAGTATTGCCTGGTTAGGACAGAATAGCTACCTATTTTTAATATAGCAATAAATTAGTCACTGTATCAGGCGCTTTATTACATTATCTCTTAATCCTCACAGAACTCTAAGACAAGTGTTTTCAGGTGATAATGCTTTAGTGAAAAATGAGCTCTGTGTGTGTGTTTCTATCTCCTCTCATGCTTCCCTTTCTTTGTTGCAGTCCAGAGGTCCTGTCAGAGATGGTTTCTAGGTACCAGAGGTTGGTCCCAAGGTTGGTATGTCCATGAGGTATTGATTCCACAGATAGTATGTGTAGGTAAATGCTTACATCCCACTGCTTCATTGGTTAAAATTCTATGATATAGAATTCTCCCTTCAGTTATATAAAAAGCATCCTTTAATTATATATTAACCAACTGTATTGTAGATTCACATAGGTTTTTTTTTAATAAAAAATATTAAATGTGACTTACTTCTTAGCAGAAATGCAGTAGTGTTTTAAAAATTAATTTCATCAGATGCTGTGCTAAGTACCAGTAACAAAAAAAAATTAATAAGGACATCATGCTCCTGATGACCTCCCATTCCACTGGAGGAGACAGACTTGTAAGCAGATACACTGGAGTAGAAGGTGGTAAGTGCTCTTCTGAAAATTGAGCAAGGAGTTGTCAGTACAGAAGCACAGAGGGCTCTGCTAAGGGAGTAAAAAGGTTTCACAGAATAGGTGACATTTGAGCTAGATCTTAAAGGATAGGCTAAAGTTTTCCAAGTCAATGAGATGGTCACTATCTGAAGGGCCTAGTATGGGACAAGGCACATGGTGAGACCATAAATGTTAATATCTAGTTCTAATCAAGGAAGTGTTCTCCATAGAGGATACGGTCTGTTCAGTTCAAGCAATATTCATTGAGTACCTTGTATCTTTCAGGCACTGTTCCAGATTCTTTGTCCTATTGCCAAGCATATCCTGTGAAGACAGATAATTACACTAGGATCTAGTGTGAACCACGTCCAGACCTACTATTTATAGATTTTGCTCTCAAGATGGGACAGAGATGTTTGTTTTAACACTGCTGACACATTCTAACTTGACTGCAGCCCCTCACTATACAGCTGACATGTAAGCAGCTGGTGACTATTGTAGACTCAGTTTCATAAAGAATGCATGACAGTTTGCCTGGTTTCTTCCTCTGTTCTAGGGCACTTTGATCTGCACTGGATCAGGCAGGTAGCGACAACGTCTCCTTGCAGCACGAGTAGAGGCCGGTGTCAGTATTTCTTTCCTACTGATAATTACTTCACTGACCTATTCCACTTACATTCTATTCAAAAGCCATTTTATCACATCTGACCACCAAATCTCAATACTTTGTTCTGTAATAGAGTAGGGAATAGTGTGGAATGGAATGCTTACTGTGATGTGATTTATCATATTATCCTAGATACAGAAACTAAGTGTTTTCTACATTAAAAATTAAACCTTTCTAAATGTAAGGAAATTCCTATGACTATTTTGTTTTAATATTTATTTATTTATGCATACAGAACCGGGATAAAGGCCAGAGGTGCAGGGGCAGTGAGAGAATTTACCAGAGACAGAGTGGGGAGCAGAACAGGCAGATCAACGAAGTACACTGCTGAGGGTTGCTGCTGGCGAGACAGGAGAGGTCTGCAGTGCCATGTGGGTCAGTCAGCTCCTGGGTTGGGTCAGTATCAAACTTGAACTGAAGCTGCAGGTAGCTTGCAGTTGCGCCACCAGGGAGAGCCTCTATGACTATTTTCAATGGCAGAAGCTGGGTTACAAACAATAGAAGGGCTGTACTAGTGTGTTACATGCATTTTAATTCTCACAGCATGTCTGTAAAATAGGGATTGTTGTTGAAATGAAGATCCCCCATCCGCCACCCCTTAGTTTGCATCATTACAAGCGGCAGTGGGTGGTGGGCATTTTACTGCCTGATACCAATGACTTCACTGGGGCTCAGACTGCTGGCCAAGGACAGCACTGATGGTGGCTAGCAGTGGTTCCCCGAACACGCTGCCCAGGGACCTGAAGGCCCTGTGGCCCCACATGTCTAGCTCTGGTGATGTGGTTCCTTCCAGCTGCAGGCAATAAAGAGGCCTGTGGATTTGGTTCCTGGAGCTGGGATGGGACCACCAGGTGTGAGCTATGAGCTCATTGGTAAATGGTCCAATCAGCCATGAGAAAAACCTGTCCAATCAGACTGTAGGTTGGAAGTGGGTGGGAGGGAAAGGACCCTGTTAGGCTATAAGGCAGGGAGGGTGCCAGCTTGGGACGTTGATGCTGCCATTAGGGTCTTGAGCTTCTGATCCCCTGCACTCTCGGAAACTTACTTGGGCTCACTCAGACTGGAAACACTCAGAAGCGGCCAACAGCTGAATAGAACCTGAAGAGATTTGCAGAGGCCGGGGCTGCTGCGTCTGACATCACCTGAAAGGAGAACCAGGCCTTGGACCCAGTGCCTCAAAGAGCGTTTGTTGGTGGTGTGAGCTAACTCATAGCTGCAATGCTAGTGACCAGTAGAGACCTGCACTACTGGCCCGTGCTGCCAGCAATGTTGATGAGTGATAAGCCCTTTGTGTCTGGGTCTTTTCTGAGAGCTGTTAATCGTCCAGCGGCATTGCTCCCGAGTGCTACTGCCATTGCTGTCTGGCCCAGCATCCAGGGTTGTCCATCCTCACCTTCAGGCTGTCGCAGTGGCTTGATTTCAGTGGCCCCACCTGTGAGGGCCTCCAGCTGTGGTGAGTAGGATCTCGGCCAAGGCTTGTCGGCTGCTGCAGGCTCCATGCCCTTGTTGATAAGATGCCATCTTGGATGTGTGGGCTTTTGCTTAGGGATTTTGGACACTATGGACACTGTCTGTGATAAGATAGCCAGCCACCTGCGGCCAGGAGACATCTTTTGTCTCCTGTTAAATAACCCCCGTTGTTGTCCCCTGAGCCTGAGTGGTTTTGTAATTGTGCTTGCAGTTGAAGAACCCCTATCCGACCATTGCCCTTTGGCTGGCTCTACTGGCCCGTGCTGCCAGCAATGTTGATGAGTGATAAGCCCTTTGTGTCTGGGTCTTTTCTGAGAGCTGTTAATCGTTTAACCATGTTTCATTATGACTATTACGTAAATTGGGGCTCTAAAGCAAAGGACTTTTAGCTTAGCATGGGGACTGGCAGCTAGATCTATCCAACTGCAAGCCCACTTTTTTTTTTTTAAAGCAGTGTCCAGTTTTAATGCTACCATTTACTGTGTTTCTACTGTATGCCGGACACAATAAACGATGTTTACATTGAAAGAACAAAGTAATAGTTCTTTCAAATCTTCCATTTTTCTTTCATTTAAAGCATTTTCTATGGTTAATGCCATTTATTTATTTATTTTAAAGATTATTTGTGCATACAGAACTGGGGTACAGGCCAGAGGCTCAGGGGTGGTGAAAGGCTTCACCAGAGACAGAGTGGGGAGCAGAGACAGAGTGAGGAGCAGAACAGGCAGATCAAGGAAGTACACTGCTGATGGGAGCAGCGGGTGGGTCAGGAGAGGTCTGCCACGCCATGTGGTCACCTCCGGGGCAGGCGGGAATTGAACTCATGCGGAAGTGGCTTAAGCTTCTCAGTGCAGTGCTTTTACCCGCTGCACCACCAGGGAGGGCCCAAGCCTAAGTGATTTTTAACACTTCCAGGTGATGTTAATATGCTGTCTGAATCAGACCACTGCACTCAGTGAAGAAGCCTGAAGTAAATGGTGGAAAATGCCCCTTGTAGGTTATTTTTACAGTGGTTTGTATTTTCCAGAAAGTACTGAAGCACAGGAAGGAAGGACTGCTGGCTTTGGAGTAAAATAGACTTAACTTTGAACCCACTTTGACACTTTCTTGCCAATAGGCCCTTGGGAGATTACTTAGCATTCTATAAAACACTGAATGTGAAAAATGTACAAGGTGTCCAGGAGAAGAGCATTCTACCATGGAGTCAGTGGAATGAATGCAGCTTCTACAGGTGATCACTGCACACAGTGCATTGGAAGGGCCTGGGAAACTTGTTTCCTGCATAGAAAGTCCATCTTCTGCTGCCCATTCTTGGAGGAAAAGCAGGGGAGGGGAGGCTGTTCTCATAATGACTACTTAATGTTGATTCCTTTATTGCCAGACCATGTGGCTTTTGTGGGAGTCAACCGGCAGAGGAAGATCCCCTTTCTCATGGATGCCCTTCGCCATGGATGACTAGGTAAGACATGAATGCCTGGGTGAGAGGAAAAGGGGAAGCATATTTTAATGTCTTCTATTAGATTGGAAATATCTTCTGTAATAGAACAATGTCTGGATGGTAACTAGGTTTCTTGGTTGTTCAATTATAGCCTAATTTTTCTAGAAATGCACTACATCTCTAAAGAGCACTGTATTTCAGTGATGTTTTCGGTCATGTTATGTGTTGGGGTACAATATCATTCTGTACTGTGTTCTCAGACTGGATGAATAAACAAAATATCAGGCATGTTAGCAAAGGAAAAACACTTTAATTCTATACATATGGAGAATTTGTGTAGCTGTAATTATAAAGAATGATAGAGCAGAGGAAGAAAGTTTATCCTCCTTTTGGGACCTGGAGCATCAAGATGAGAGAAGTGGAGACTTTACATGATGAAGAGGAGGTGACCTAATTTTTACCCTGAGGGTAAATGAGATTCTTACACAGAGAGAACATGTTACCTGATAAACTAGAACTGGATGAGACCTCTCTAGGTCATAAAGGAAAGGGCAGTGATTACTTCTTAATTTGGAAGAGCTGCAGCTTAGGACATTCTGATCTCTTCAATTAGGGACAGATGAACATTTGGGACAAGAGAATCTCCTTCCACCCTTCAGGGCCCAAACTGCTCTTGAGCAAAACTATCTGCACTCTTTTAAGTTAATAGACATCCTGGGGCTTCGATTTGACACCAGTTCCCACACCAGTGTAGCAGGAGTACTACTCTGGACCTATGGGAAAAATTGAACACTTCTGGGGAAGACAGACCCCACATAAACTTTGAGGAACTAGTGTGGAATTTTTAACACTGTTTCTGTGAAAAATAGTCACTACTTGGGATGCCAAGACGTAGTTCTTTCCTCTCAGTTAACTCAATTTAACAGATCCAGTGCTGACTATCTAAGGAAGCAGGAACACAGTTGCTCAGAAAATACAGTTCTCTGGAGTTGAACAGAATTTTTCTACCTATGGATTAAAGGCCATTTCTTCATTTGTGTTCCTGTTCTCCAAAACAACCCATCATATATTAGTATAGTGGACATTGACATATAAATAAATTTTAAATCAGTAATGACCTCATTTTTAGATTAGACAGTGGTGGTCCTTAAACACCTCGACAACTTTCTTCAAATGATCACTTTCTTGTTTCCTAAATCAGGTGTTTTGATGGCAAGAGTTTACAAGTCTAAGTTGTTGCAGCAAAAATACCATGGTGAATTTGAGTGTGAAGGCTGTGGTGGTGGTTCTCATTATACTAGAAAGCTTATAGAAAGAAAGTGACAAACTCGGGAGCTTAACAATTTTAGCTCAAGGGGCTGCCACAAAATCAGGAAACTTCCTTGATTCCTGCCCCCCAAACAATGGTGTTCTTTTTCTACCAGAGAGGCAAAAGTACTCCCCACAAAACTTCTTTAATTCTTCAGCTTTCTGCATTACAACATAGATTTTCTAGGCATCAATTAAGAGTGGTGTTCTGAAAATGACGATAACTTGGGTAGGCTATTTTGAGCCCAGCTACCTCAGGCCTCCAATTTATTTATTTATTCATATGAAACTGGGGTACAGGCCAGAGATATGGATAGTGAAAGGATTCACCAGAGACAGAGAGGGGAGCAGAACAGGCAGATCAACGATGAAGTACACAGCAGCGGGAGGATCAGGAGAGGCCTGCCATGCCATGTGGATCTCCTCTGGGGCAGGCGGGGATCGAACTCATGCGGAAGTGGCTTTAGCTTCTTAGTGCTATGCTTTAACCTGCTGCGCCACCAGGGAGGGCCAAGAATCAGTCGTTTTTACAGAAAATTCTGGAATCAGAACAGTTGCCACTTGTGTTTTCTTTTAGTACTTTTTAGTACAATATCAAAAGTTCTTAGAGGTCAGGAATGGGAAAGGACATAAAGAGTACATAAGCATACCACCCTCCACCCAAATGTTTCCAAGAGGTTA